TTGATTGAGTTCTTGATGATCAATGGTGTGTTTGTTCTGCAGAAGTTTCCAGTCTCGATGGAAAGGTGAGTGATCTGCTGGTGTCTCTGGTCTCTCTGCTTCTGATCCAAAGCCACTGCAGTTCTGATCCTGAATGTTCTTCCAGAGTCCAGATCTCACAGCCGGATCCACAGACGCCTTCTGGAGCTTTGATTCATGTGCCGCGTTACTTGGGCAACCTGCCCTTCAGAGTCTGGAAGAAGATGCAGGACATTGTCCAAAACAGTGAGTCTGGAGAAGATCTGTGCTGTTACACATACACTGGAAATGAGCATGAGGGAATATTTACAGATTTCAGCATTATGTGTGAATAACCAGATGAGCTACTACACCAAAATGAGCCGTAAACAAGAGAAGAACAACTTTGCTCCACATGATATTTACAGTTACAGTGATACAGCAGATCTCAGTTCAGTTTGATTTATTATCAAATCTAAAATTTCTCAAGCACATACAGGCGCGGCTCGTCGCAGAGCCCCATCAAAATATTAATCCACAACACAGACCTCTATATAAACTGAAACAATAATAAATTGTAAATGTGTTCAGCATTCTGCAACAAATATTTTTCAGATTTTCGATACTATTTTAAGTCGTAAAGTAAGCAGTATATATTAAAATCCCGCGCATGGCTTTAGCAGGCATGTATACATGATACTAAGCGGGGCAGACGGTGCCTGAGACCTCCCGAGCTCAACAGCGCCCCACAATTTTGCAACGTAAATCTGTGGTGAAAAGGGGAACTGCAGCGCGCTCTAATCGTGAACCATTGGGGCAGATTTGAGACTGCCCCGCTTATTTTAACGTTACCTTACGTGAACCTCGCTCCACCAAGACGATATCAGTCCGCTTCAGCTTTGTGTCTGCATCAGGTCAGTAACTAGTTGGCATGTCTGTTTTTTTTCTATGTGGAGTAGTGGATCAAATTAACAAAGTATTAATCATTTAGTTTAAATGTGCTCACATGAATAGCCTTTATATGGTTCTATTGTGTTTGTTTTATTATTATTCTGAGAATAGACATGTGATCATCTTTCCTCACCCGAATTGCTCCACAACTTGTAAGATTCTAAATCAACATTTGGATAAATGCTATATTAAGGCTAGGGCTGGACAATAATTCAATATCAATATGTATCGCGATATATTTTTTTTTTCAATAACGGTGATATGATTTTTAAACACATTTCCGATATTTCGATATCCATTACCAGTGTTTTCCATACATTGATTAATTTGTGGCATTTGACTTCGTTGAATAAACATGAGCACTGCACGTTTCAAAATCAAAACACGTCGCCGGTGTTTTATATTAATGTATCTCTGAAGGGAAAGGACTGTCTTCAGAACAGTTTTGATGGCGTTTTTTAAATTTTATCTGATAAAGAAGCGTTCATGAGCGTTGCTGATTTGATTACAGCCGTTACCAGGGAAACCGCTAGTTCTACCGCTCTATAAGCGCCTCCTGCTGGCAGACAATCAGTTTGCATTTTCAATAAGCCCGACTCCAGCAACATGTTTTTGTTATTGCTCTTTTATTTATTTGTTTTTGTTTTCTGCAGCACTTTTCGTACTCTTTATACTGGCTAAAGCACATTTGTTTCAATCTATAAGAATGATCAGCCTACACTACCAGTCAAAAGTTTTTGAACAGTAAGATTTTTAATCAAAATCAAAACACGTCGCCGGTGTTTTATATTAATGTATCTCTGAAGGGAAAGGACTGTCTTCAGAACAGTTTTGATGGCGTTTTTTAAATTTTATCTGATAAAGAAGCGTTCATGAGCGTTGCTGATTTGATTACAGCCGTTACCAGGGAAACCGCTAGTTCTACCGCTCTATAAGCGCCTCCTGCTGGCAGACAATCAGTTTGCATTTTCAATAAGCTTTATTCTCTTCTGCTCACCAAGCCTGCATTTATTTCATCCAAAGTACAGCAAAAACAGTAACAATTTTAAATATTTTTACTATGCAAAGCTTGGAGTCAGTATAATTGTTTTTTATTTTTTTATTTTTTTGGAAATAAATTACAGAAATTAATACTTTTATTTAGCAAGGATGCTTTAAATTGATCAAAAGTGATGATAAAGACATTTATAATGTTACAAATGTTACAAAACAAAGTAACAAAAGGTTTCTATTTCAGATAAATGCTATTCCTCTGAAATGTTTATTTTATTAATCAAAACTTACGTTTTCAACATAATAATAAATGTTTTTTGAGCAGCAAATCAGAATATTAGAATGATTTCTAAAGGATCATGTGACTGGAGTAATGATGCTAAAATATAGCTTTGAAATCAATGGAATAAATTACATTTTAAAATTGTTCAATTAAAAAAAAAAAAAAATTTATAGTAAAAATATTTCAAAATGTTACTGTTTTTGCTGTATTTTGAATCAAATAAATGCAGGCTTGGTGAGCAAAAGAGAATTATTTTAAAACATTAAAAATCTTCCTGTTCAAAAATTTTTGACTGGTAGTGTGTGTTAGCCTATAGTTTGAAGTTAAAGATATTAATGTTAATTAGGTGAGTCTGAGACTATTATTTGACAGTGATTTCACATTTATTGTTTGTATGAAGGCTAAATACAAATAAAAGTTGAACATTAATTTATTTGTGCTGTTTTTTTTTTCTTCTAAAATATTATATGGTTCTATAAATTCATTTTTCATAAGTTTGTATGCACAGACATCTGTTGTGGGCATTCTTGGCAGTTTTTACGAGGCTTAATAGTGTTCATATCGATATCGGAATTATATCGTATCGACCGAAATTAAGAAATATATTGTGATATAAATTTTGGCCATATCGTCCAGCCCTAATTAAGGCAATTATAATACAGCATTTTATGCTGTTGTCCGAACCTGTCAAACAACATTAGCGTGCCACCCACAAGATAACGCAAGGACAACATTTTGTCCACATGTGTTCAGAGATTAGAATATAAACTTACAAAATGTTTTTCATATATTACGACCCAGAATCTGCGCCACCTAAATGTATGGTCAGGAGCCGCTACTGAGCACATATTTACTGTAACAACACTGAGAGTAGAGCTGCACGATTCTGGATTAATTGAGAATCATGACTTTTTGTCTCAAATAGAGATCACGATTCTCTCACGATTCTGAACGAAACAAAATAATTTGTGACAAAGTATTAATTGCTGCAATCTATTTAACAGTGTTTAATTAATTTGAAAGAATTATTAAACATTTTAATATCTAATATATATACAGTGTTGGGGGTAATATATTACAAGTAACGCAAGTTACGTAATCAGATTACTTTTTTCAAGTAACTAGTAAAGTAACGACTTCAGAGTGACTTTACTGACTTTTACTGAAATTATGCATCTGAAGGGCTTTATTACAACATGACAGTCGAAATAATAAGAAACAATCCCACCAAAAAGGATTTGCTCAGCATTCAAATGTTTCTCAGGAAGATTATTTATTTATCTAAAAAAGGTTTCATTAATGTCAAATACTAAAATAAATAAATATTCTATGGAAATGCACTTTAACAATTTAGTTGATAATCTAAATTATAGGCCTGCTATGAATTATATACAGGCCTATATTTTTTATTTAAGAGATTTAATAATAGAAATAAAAGGCATATAGGCTATGATGAATAATGAGCAAGTTTGAAATGTGCTTTTAATTTATGGAATTATTAAATAACTCCATAAATAACTAATAATTACTGCAGCCTTCTGTTTCAATTCCGAGGGATTCGTCTTATCTCAAAGCGTCTAACTTTAACTTTTCACTTGAGAGAAAAAAAAAACATATATATATATATTGGCCTACGAATCACGAATATCTGTGTATCTCAGTACCAGCACGGATGTGTGATTCAGCTCTTCTGTTTATGTAGCAACACATCACGTGATCGCCAGTGGGGTCACATGACACGCGCCAGCCAATAGGATTGCACGAGTGCGGCACCATCAGAGATCAGAGGAAGAGCCCTGAAACTTCGCTTTATTGCTTTTGTTTCTTTTGATCGAATCCAGGTTTCCGGTTCCTGAAGCAGCTGCAGGTGAGCCCGAGTCTCTTTCAGCTCAGATATGCGTTACATCTGCGGTTATAACGCTCCAGTTAGCAGCGTTACACACACAGAGCTGTTTATTTCCTTCTGACTGATTCAGTTTGTGTTGTTTAGTTTTGTCAAGTTCAGCAACTCAGTCATGTATGGGTTCGGTGGGTTTTCTTCATTGTAAATAAAAGTCCTCCTCGTTTGGTTTGTTAACCGCTTCTCCTGCAGTTTTGTAAATAAATGAATGTCCGGCTCATATTTCATCTCAAATTAAATGTGTTATTTTAAGCGATATAGTGATATCTTACTGATTATTAGTCACTAATACCCGATTCAAACTATCGTTACCACGTGTTCAAAATAAATAATAATTATATTATTATTAATAAATAAATTATTATACATATTATTAATACATGACACCATTTTGTTGTATTACTTTATATACTATGCTTTCCTTAAGTAATATATAATACTACATGTAACATAATAATGTATATATAGTCATAATTTATTGCGTGTGTATATATATATATATTGGGATTTGAGCAGGTTATTGCATAGATAGACGGATATCATTTTGTCTTGCATGGCAGTCAAATAGTGAAGAGCAAATGCAATAAATGCACTGCAAAAACCTGTCTTGTTTTCCATTAAAAATATCTAAACGTTTACTTGAGAAGCACAGCGGTGTAAGATAACAGCTCTTTTTTCACCTTACATATATTGAATTTATTCGTCTTACCTCATAGGCAAATACATTTTTTTTTTCATTTTGAGTAAAAAATCTTATTTTAAAATGCACAAGTCTGTCACATGCTGTTTGAGTCTTAAGTAAATGCTTCTTGTTTTAAGGATGTTCATATATTTTTACTGGAAAACAAGACGAAAATGCAGATTTTCGTGATTTACGTGATTTTCTTTTCCTATAACTATGATTAACTTATGCAGGACAGGCGTTCATACACTGTGGCTGATTTCTAATATATATTAGCATAATTATGTAGAGAGTATGGATGATATGAAAAAAATATGGATGAGGTGAAGTGTCTAAGCACGTACTTTGAAAAGAAGCACTAAAATCTCAATATTGTACATTGTTATATTGAAATTAAAGAAGTATTGAACAGTAGTGGATGAAATTGTTTATTTGATTTAAGGTTATTAGTACAGTATTGTACAAAAGCATCATGCGGCTGACCACAGGTAATAGTTGTTGCATTTGAAAGGTTTAGTGTGTACATTTATTTTTGCATTCCTGTTTTATGCTTTAAAAATAATCTAATCACACTTCATTTGTTGTACAGTAGTAGGTAAGAGTGTGAATATAAGCTGGCAATGATGAGTATAAACAACTGAAACATTAACAGCACACCTGTATATTTATGCATGACAACAAAAACGCAAAAAACATTCAGTCAAATGAATCAACTGAGCAGATGCTTCTTCCCAAGAAACTGCACTTTCCTGTCGAAAGCTGTGGAGCGAATCGGTGCGTTGGCTTCGTAGAAGGGATTCATTGCAAACTGGGTAAAAACACAAAAATGTTTTAAAACAAATGCTATGCATTTATATGGCACTGAAATATCACTACAGAATAATACGGATTTTACCTTGATGTACAGATCATAAACATCATTAAAGAAGTTCTTGATTCCGTCCTCTTGCCGAACATCATGGAGCATAATAAATCTCATATGTATGCAAGAGAGTTAAAGAATAATACATTTACAGTTAGACATTTAGCAGATGCTTTTATCCAAAGTGACTTACAAATGAGGACAATAGAAGCAATCAGAATCAACAAAAGAGCAATGATATGCAAGCACTATAACAAGTCTCAGTTAGCTTAATGCAGTACACATAGCAAGGGTTTTGTTTATTATTATATAATAAATAATAAGAAAACTGAATTGAAAAAGAATAGAGCAAGCTAGTGTTAGAGGCCCTTTTTTTTGCTTTTGTTTACTGTATAATAAAAAATAAAAAAAACAATACAAAAAGATTAGAGAAGCTAGTGTTTTTTTTACATACTTAACACATTTAATACATGCAATAGGTCTGTTAAATATGGGTGATTCTTCAACTTGAAACTTATTTAGATCATTTTTTTTTGATCTGTGCTAAACATCTATCAGCCTTGGAATAAAAATCGGATGGTTATGATGGCACTACCTGGGATACTTTGTTATACAAAATTGCAAATAAATATAAAATTAATTGAAAATATGATTTTAGGTTTTTATAAAAACAATGCAGAGTAGACTTTTTCAGATTTTCAAAGCTTTATACAGTTTTTAAAAAAAATGTCTATATAGAAAATCAGAGTTATTATAGTTAACTAAAACTGTTACTTGAAATAAAATATAACAATTTACCATTTATATAAAAAAAGATATTTAACTGAATCTAGTTGAAATCAATGTACTGAAATAACTAAAACTAAAATAAAAAATTAAATTAATAAAATCTAATACATATACATTATATATATATATATATATATATATATTA